GTATATTAATATTAACTTAAATCATCCACCCCAAATTCTAAAACAAATCCTGATTTCAATTAATAACAGGCTTAACCAAAACTCCTCTAATGAAAATGTATTTAATTCCTCCAAACAGATATTTGAAGATGTCCTTAAAAAAGTGGTTTTGAAAACTTTGAATTAAAATTTGACCCTGAAAAAAAGAATACAAAAAAGCAAAATAGAACTAGAAATGTAATTTGGTTCAACCCCCCATATAGCAAAAATGTTTCCACAAACATAGAAAAAGTGTTTTAAAAATTGATTGATAAGCATTTCCCGCCCTCTAATAAATTACATAAAATTTTTAATCGAAATACTATTAAAGTTAGCTACAGTTGCACAAAAAATATGGAAAAAATTATAAAAGGTCACAATAATGCTTTGTTAAACAAAAAAGAAATCCAAAATGAAAAAACTACAAAAAATTGTAATTGTAAACAAAAAAACAATTGTCCAATGAGTGGAAGTTGCTTATCAAAAAATGTGGTATATAAATGTGTTGTCTCCTCTAAGAATGTACCTGATAAACAATATATTGGCATAACAGAAGGTGAATGGAAAAAACGTTTTTGCCAACCATAAGCAATCTTTTAAAAATAAAAAGTATTCAAAAGACACCATGCTGTCAAAATATATATGGGAATTAAAAGATAAAAATATTAATGATTTTACACTGAATTGGTCCATCCTTAAAACAGTGCCTGCATATAACAATATTTCCAAAAAATGCATACTATGTCTACAAGAAAAATTTGAAATAATTACACATACAAACCAAGAATGTTTATTAAACAAAAAATCGGAATTGATTTCTAAATGCAGGCACGAAAATAAGTTTCTCCTAAAAAACTATAAAAATAAGTGAGCTCAAATAATAGTTACATTAACTCCCCTTTGAAAAAAAAAAAAAAAAAAATATTTTTTTATAAAAGCTTAAGTAATAATAATAAATATATATAATAATATATATATATATATATATATATATATATATATATATATATATATATATATATATATATATATATATATATATATATATATATATATATATATATATATGATGCAACATAGAAAGATGAAGGATATTCATCTTTCTATGTTGCTGTAAGTGTTGATTCTCTCAATATGAAGAGCGCAATTGATTGTCTTATGTCAACGGAAGTTTGGTCAAAGGGGTTATTAGCGCAAAGATATTTTCAACATAGAAATGGCTACCAATTATAAATGATTGTCATTTTTGTTTATTCAATTGTCCGCCTTTAAAGAACAGTTTTTTTTTTCAATTAAAGATATGTGTATATCATATGAACTTGTGTTATTACAAAAACATTGGCTATTGCTGTGTGACCTTGATATATTTAACAGTATACATCCTTATTTCTATGGTACTGGATTGTCTGCAGTCAACATATCATCAAACCTACTAAATGGAAGGCCTTTTGTTGGTACTGCAATATTGTATTGCAAAAGTCTTGTGTGCTGTATTAAAATTTTTAAATTGAATCAAAAATTACATGCTTGGTTATTGATACCAATATTGGGCCAGTGCTGCTTATGAATGTATACATGCCCACTAATTATAACAATGAGGAGAGTCTTTAAGCCTATAATGATATATGCTTGAAATTGAATGCTTTTATAGTAGGAACAAATACAGTATACACTATTATTGCAGGTGATTTTAATTGTCATGAAAGTTCTCAAATCTTGCTGCCAAAAATAATCTGGTCAAATCTGACATAAACAGGTTAAATAATGCTTTTGCCTATATCTATGGAGTGCTGGGAGCTTTCCATCCCAGCCTAGCACTGATTCTTGGCAATCATTTAGGTTAAAGTTTTGCTGAATTTCTGAGTGTCTTGCTTCTCTAAATTTTTTTCTAAGTTGTTGAAAAGAAGTGTGATTTATCACCAGGTTTTTAGTATCACACCCGAAAGCTTCTGCAGCAGCCATTAATATGTAAACCCTCTTTCTGTCAGTAATTTTGTACGTATCAAAAACTTTTGCGTGGACGTGAAAAATGGTAATGTACCTCGTCTTGTTGGAAATTTTGCTGCTGCTCCTGCTGTTGATATTTGCTGAACAATGGCAGGTCAACATTCACTGTCGTCACCACTATCAATGTCTTCACTGCTTGATGCTGAATAATCAGTTTTTGATGTAGAAAGAGTACCAAAATGTTGTTCCTTATTTGACTTATTTCATAAGTCAAATAAGGAACAACATTTGTTGACTTATGAAATAAGTCAAATAAGGAACAACAAATGTTGTTCCTTATTTGACTTATTTCATAAGTCCTTTTTCTCCTGGCAGTTTCCATTGCAGTGCGCTCAGTACCCTTTCTTCCTTGTGTTTTAGTTTCTGATCCACACCAAGCATAGACCCTGGTTGTCCTTTTTGGCGCTGAAAAATTAAGAAATTCTTATCCTCTTCATTTTTTATCTGTTTTCAATGCTTCTGAATGAGCTGTTTTGATTGCTTCTGAATGTCAAACAGATCATCTATATTTTCGTCAAAGATATCTCGTTTTTCTTTGTCTTTGCCTGCACCTCTCGTCAAATTCTTTTGTAAGCCTTTCTATTCATCATACAGTTTCAGTAACTTCTCAACACAGTGAGAAGTTACTGAAACAGTCAGTTCTTTTAATAGGAATTAGTGCTTTTTGCCAAAAAATGGAAACTTCTTGAATCACCAGTATTGCACTTTTCTTTGTTGTAAGCTTTACAACTCTTACTTTGTAGAAGAAAACGCTCAAAATTTGCCGGTTCAAAGGCAATTTGACTCAGACAGTTTGATTTGAAATGTAGCCAACATGACAGACATGAAAATCTTTTCTTAACTTCTGTGACAAACTCCCAGCAAACTTGATGCTATTTTACTGTCTGAAAAGAAGACAATCTAAAAATCACTTTGTACGAGCAGCACAAACAGTTCTGAAAACAGTTTTTAAACTTTTTATCTCAAAAATGATTCTCAGGGCAAAAATTTCGAAACTTCATGGATGATGAGGGTCGACTTACAGTAATCCGATTACGCTAAAAATTTGTATAGATCGTTATGTTCATGATTGGAACAAGAAATGGGGTTGGGAGCTAAACAATTTGAAAGTTTAAAACTTTCAATTTGTTTAGCTATGTATATATGGTGGGCCACCCTTATATATATATGTATATATATATAAGGGTGACCCACCCTAATATATGTATATATATAAGGGTGGGCCACCCTTATATATATACATATATATATACATATATATATATATATATATATATATATATATATATATATATATATATATATATATATATACTATTATATATATATATATATATATATATATATATATATATATATATATATATATATATATATATATATATATATATATATATATATATATATATGTAATATATATATATATATATACATATATATATATATATGTACATATATATATATATATACTATATATATATATATATATATATATATATATATATATATATATATATATATATATATAGTATATACATATATATATATATATATATATATATATATATATATATATATATATATATATATATATATATATATATATATATATAAATATATATATTTATATATATATATATATATATATATATATATATATATATTTATTTTTATATATATATATATACATTTGCTTGCATTTATAATATAAATGCATTAAATAACATTAAATTTAAGAAAACAAGCAATATATATATACATATATATATATATATATATATATATATATATATATATATATATATATATATATATATATATATATATATATATATACATATATATATATATATATATATATATATATATATATATATATATATATATATATATATATATATATATATATATATATATATATGTATATATATATATATATATATATACATATATATATGTATATACTATATATATATATATATATATATATATATATATATATATATATATATATATATATATATATATATATATATATATATATATTATATATATATATATATGTACATATATATATATATATATATATATATATATATATATATATACATATATATATATATATATATATATATATATATATATATATATATATATATATATATATATATATATATATATATACATATATATATATATCTATATATATATATATATATATATATATATATATATATATATATATATATATATATATATATATATAAATATATATATATATATATATATATATATATATATATATATATATATATATATATATATATATATATATATATATATATATACAACCCTCGGAATTAATATATATATATATATATATATATATATATATATATATATATATATATATATATATATATATATATATATATACAACCCTCGGAATTAGGATCGGCATTTGGCAATGCCGACCTGAAAGTGTTTGAAGTCGGCAAAAAATTGCTGACCTCTTTTTTATGTTTTATGGTCAGACCTTTGTATTGAATAATTTTTGCCGACCTGATGCCGACCTCAAAAGTTGGAGGTCTGCAAATTATTTCCGACCTCACTTTTCTTAATTCCATGGGTTGATTTATATATATATATATAAATATATATATATATATATATATATATATATATATATATATATATATATATATATATATATATATATATATATATATATATATTTATTTTTATATATATATATATACATTTGCTTGCATTTATAATATAAATGCATTAAATAACATTAAATTTAAGAAAACAAGCAAGTGCATATAAATTCTATGCATTTGCTTATTTTCAAAAATTTAATGTTAAATAATTATTTACAAACATTAGAAGTTTACAAACGTTTATGTATATACACAAACAATTTGCATTTATATAAATGTATTTTGATTAATTTGATAAATACTTTTTTATAGAGATGTTCCATAAGTTTGAATATTTCCAGTTAAGTTAACAATGAGTAAAAGATGAAAAAGAGTAACTATGGAAACAAAGAATACAAATTATAAGTTTTTTAATGGTTTAAACTTGTTTTAGCAAAATTTTTATTTTTTTTATTTATATATAAATTTTTAATACTTTATAATTTGAACCTTTAGTTAATGAAATTTTTTTTATTTAGCACAATCCATCAAATATTGTGCTTAACAGCAGTTGATTTCAACAACAAAACTATATATGTAATCTTTTTATTAAATAAATTTTTATTAATTCTATATTTGTGTGTATGTATATATACATGTGTGTGTGTGTATATGCATGTGTATCTATTTAGGACATTTATAGTTATATGTCATCTTCATTAAATAAACACTCCTTGGTGGCCCTTATTTTTCCATGTTCAAAATATTTTTTAATTCACTAAAAAAAAAATCACAAATTATTTGTCTCTAAATGCGTCCTAAAGATCAAACTAAAAATAGCTCGTTCAGCTATTTACCCCTCACAGGCTCAGAGTCTTATTGTGTGAGAAGAGAGATGCTGTTACCAAAAATAAATTACTTATTACCTGATAAATATTATTGAAAACAATTTTTTATTTTTAAAAACCATGGCATGAGTAGACTTTGCCTCTAAAATAGAAATGTTTTTAAACAATCAGGACTCTCTGTCAAAGTAGATAATGCTCTTTGGGAGCTTTTATATTTTTGGTTTATACTAAAGCATGGAGTACTGACCCAAATCCAACAGAAGCTTTTCAACAAGATTTAGCCCTAATAAATCTCTCCTTAAGCTTCTAAGCAAAGCAGTTTCCAAGACTTCATTGAACAAGTTCTTAAACCATTTATAGTATCTGCCCAAGGAGCTTGCTGGACTTTTTTTCTTTGATGTTGTGTTATAATGTAAGTTATAACACAACATCAAGAAAAATAGTTGACTATAATGTAAGGAGGCTAATACCATTTAAAAAACTGTATGATGACTAAGCTGTTGCAGAAATACAAGAATGATGAAGGTATTATACATTTACATATAAATAATTCAATAGACAGTAACTAATGAGTATTTCCACATCAAATCACCCAAAATTTTGTAAATTTTAAACCATAGTTCTCATATTTCTTCAAACTTCTTTAGCTATTAAATGTTTCAAACAAAAACACTTAAAAACTCACAAAACAACTAGTTTATATGACCCAACACAGCCTTAACTAAATTTAGGTTTCTTGAATTGTGTACAAATTAATTTCAAATTTTTTGAAAGAGTATAGTATACTTATAACTATGTATATAGTCCCCCAAATCGAAAAACTCCTATTGAATATTAATGACATTTTTTGTACTATTAGGCACCTTTTTTTTGTGCCTTTTTTGTAGTTTTTACTTTTTCTTGCACTTTTTTGTACCATTTTGTTTTCCCTAATGTTTCTTTTCAAAAATATACTTTCAATTTCAGTTAAAAGTTACAAAAAATTTACAGGAAATAAAAAATACAGAAGGTATTTTGTTTTATATCTTTGGTAATGAAAATTAACATTAAAAGTGAAAATTCACATCATTAGACTCCTATAAATCATGAAAACAAAATTGCAAATCATTTATTTATCACTTGATTCAATGAATGCAGGACATTTTTATAAATTATACAGGCCACAGGTAATTAATTGTAACGAAACCCCTCCATAGATAAGTGAAATCAAGCATCCCTAGATCCCAAATCCAAATGGTTCAAAAGTTATGGCGTTTTGAAATTCAGCCTAAAATGTTCCTTTTTTTACCAAATCTGCCATTATGGACTTTGTAGTATTAATTTTTAATGAATAATTTAAGATCTAGTGGAAGAATGTGGCTAAAAATTGGTACCTGACCATTTTTGAGGGTGCTGAATTCAAAGATGTTGAGAAAATATTGAAATTTAAATTTTTTGAAAATGGTCAGTCAAATTTTTTGTTCTGTTACCATGAGTTGCATTTTCATTAACTCCCAGAGTTGTTCAAGTCTTATGGATTCAATTTATTTTTCAAATGAGGTATTAGATCTTAAGCCATCTTTACAAAAAAAGATGGTTTTGGTTTTTTAAAGCATAATAAAGATGTCATTTTAAAATTTAGGCAAAAAAAAATTTTTTTTTTGGCCTCTGTTCTCTATTATAGAACTTATAGTGACTTTTTGTGTGAATAATTTAAGTTCCAGAAAAAGAATATGACTGAAAATTGGTACCTGAGCATTTTTAAAGGTCTTGAATACAAAGATGAAGAGAAAATAACCCAATTATTCTCTTATCTTGAATCTAATAACTTACTTTCTGATCATCAATATAGATTTCAATCTTCTTGTTCTACGGCTGATTTGCTAACAGTGCATTAGATAATGGTGAAGAGGTTAGGCCATCGCTCTTGGCATTTCTAAAGCTTTTGATAAAGTTTGGCATGCTGGTCTTCTCCATAAGCTTTCTTCTTACAGTGTATCTGGAAACATCTTTAAGATTATTGAATCCTCCTTTTCAATCATAGTATAAAAGTTGTCTTTGGTGGACAGTACTCTTCTTTATATCCTGTAACTTCAGGGGTTCCTCAAGGTTCAATCCTTGGCTCTATACTCTTTTTAATTTACATTAATGATCTTCCAGATATTCTCACATCTAAGGTTGCATTGTTTGCTGATGATACTACCTTTTATTCTCGTCATGATAAGAAGCCAACACTCTCTGATTGCTTGGAGGGGGTATTTGAACTTGAAAAGGACCTCACTTCTGCTACAGCATGGGGCTCACAGTGGCTGGTGAACTTAAATTCAGATAAAACTCAATTTTTTTCAGCCAATCATTATCGCAATAATTTAGTCCTTCCTATATTTATGAATGGTAATGTAGTTGATGAGTTATCTACCCTTCATCTTCTAGGATTAACTCTTACTTGGAACCGAAGATGTTTTAAAAAAATATATTCCCAATATTTGAAAATAATTTTAAAATTTTTAAATTTTAATAGCCAAGTTTTTTGTTTTGTAACCATGGTTTTCATTTCTCTTATTTCTGGAGTTGCCTTACCTAAATGTGAAATAAGAGGTGTTAGAAAAGTATAGGTCTCTGAAAGAAAATAACAAAATTATATTGCTTTGCATAACTTGCATATTTATAACATATAATATATAATATTTTCTTATAATTATAACATATAATATTTTCAAAAGTGAAAATATGATAATATAATACATGAAAATATAATTTATAATACATCACATTGAAAATATAATTTTGTTATTTATTAGTTATAATAATTTAACTTAACATTATTACTCAATCTCTAATAATTAAGTATTGTATCAAAATATTAGTTGCTTGCTCAAATTTTAGGTTACATGCTCAATTGTTGTGTTAAATAATTAGAAATTAAAATGCCAATTTTTTTGAAAAAATAATAAAAAGCCTGTTTTATTGAAAAAAAGCTCATAAATAGAAATAAAAAGGAATAATCCAATATTACTAAAATTGAAGTTAATATCATTTTAACAATGAAAGTAAAATTTTTTCACTCTCACTGACAAGATAAAGCTGTTCAAATAGAGTTTTATCTTCATTTAAGATGTGGTACTGACGCCCAGAAGATGTTAACGGTGTTTTAACAAGATAAATGACATTCATTCTTAACACCCAGCAATTATCATCCCGCTTTGGCCAGTAGTACCACCGACTTGGATAATATGAATGCATAAACTTTACCATAAAATCATCATTATCGTTATCAACTTTAGCAACCATACCAAGCCAGTAAAATTCATCATTTTCCAAAATAGGTATTATGACATCATATCATAGTCAATTTTAATAGTTTCATATTTTTGTTTATTGAGGAAGTTAAATGTTAGAGTAAAATCATTACCATCTGATACCCTTTTCATTTTTATAATTGAATGAGAAGAAGGTATAAATTGATGGAAACTTCTTGTCCAAGGAATAGTGGTTGCTATTAAAAGTCTATCAGTAAGTTTGTTTCTTACTAGCTCTATTTCTTTAGTAGTGACGTACACAAACATAATCCTACTGATTGACTTTTGACAGTGTTTAAACATTGTTTGAGAAGACAGTATTTAACATGTGGTTGGACTCTGCAAGCTAGCAGTAATTTTTTCAGTTTTTATACTGGCCTGCACAGCATCCGAAAAATAATGAGTTTTTTTAATTGTTGGATTAAGATGAGTTTTAAAATTATTAATAGTTTTGTGTATAACTTCAATGATAAATCCAACATCATGATTCAAATTATCTAAAATTACACAAAAAGAAGATATTTTTAATTTCACTTTCTTGTAGCAGATGACAACTGGATGAAGAGAACATTGACTCTTGCTCCAATGGTAACTCTGTATCTCGTCTTGTATTACAAAAGTGTTCTCTACAAAATCTGCCAGTACAATAGCCTCATCAACACAAATTGTTTCTTTGAGATGCTTTAGAAAGCTAGATTATGATTTTGCTATAAATGAATGAGAATTAATTTTATCAAGTTTTTCACACATGAGTTCTATGAAGTTTTATTATTAATAGTTCAGTTTTATCTGTTGTTGTCCACTTTTTAAATCCACTGACTGTTCATTTTCATTGTCATATTGCTTTTTTGGATCATCATTTTGTATGAGATACTGCTAGAAATCATGCACTCTTTTGATTTTCTGCTGCAAACAATCTTTTCAATAATTTCATGGTAAGATGTTTCAAGGCCTACAGCACTCAAAATTAGTTTAACATTTTGGTGTATTGTACACACAAACAGAATGTGTACCTTTTGGACCAGCAAGAATGTACCATTTAGGCCAAAGACTGCAAAATTTAGAAAATCTAATTTTATGGTCTAGGTATTTTATCCTAAACGCCATATAGAGCTCCTTTAAGTACACAAAATCAATTTTTTTGACATGTTTTTTTTTCCCCAACACTTGCAGTCTTTTTTTTCCTGGCATTTGCCTTGAGTAAATCAAGCCTAGATCGCCTTTGGTTTGAATTTCCTTTAGAACTTCATCGTTGTTTAGTGCAAATAAATCAGTTTAGTGACATCCAGAGCAGTTGCAAGTTTCTTAATAACTATTTCTTCAACTTGCCTTATCTTTCACTTTCCAAGTCAAGGCTGGTTAGAGGTTTTAGATAAATGAACTTTTAGAGGAGACATTTCAAGTTCAGACGAAGTACTGTTAAGCGATGATCTTGCTGATTCCAATATAATTTTTTTTTCTATATTGTCTG